ACATAAGCCAGTTAGCTCACGCCTGTCATCCTAGCTACTCAGGAGGCTGAGATCTGAGGATCACAGTTCAAAGCCAGCCAGGGCAGGAAAGTCTGTGAGTCTCATTTTTTTAAAAGTTTATTGTAAAGGTGAGGTACAGAGGGGTTACCCTGAGACTCGTATCGCCAATTAATCACAGAAAAAGCTGGAAGTAACCCTGTGGCTCAAGTGGTAGAGTTCTAGCCTTGAGCAAAAGAAGCCCAGGGACAGTGCCTAGACCCAGAGCTCATGCTCCAGGACTGGAAAACAAAACAAAATAAGAAAAGCAAACCAGAATTTCTCATGGTCTTCAGTAATTAGCAAATAGAATTCATTATGTAAAAGGAATTAGGCACCATGAGCAAATGAGATTTATTCTAGGGATAAAAGATGGTTTAAAATTCAAAACTCAATCAAGCCGTAATCTTACCAAAACATGGCATTATATTACATTATAAGCTAATGCGTTTTAATATATAATTCATACTAATATAATTTGTTAGGTGCTAAAGAAGAAAATTAGCATGATCACATCACTTGATAGTAATTTTTAAAAATTGACAAAATGTTACACTCATCCATAACAAAAACTCTCCAGAAAACCGAGACCAAGGGAAATTTCTGAACTTAATCAGCAGGCTGATATGCTTAATTGTAAAAGACTGCATACTAACCAAGACTGTGTAAACGTCAAATTTTAAAATCTGATATTAATGAGAATTGTTCCAGAAAAAAATAGCACTGGGCAGGCTCAGAGGTTAAAAAAAAAAAACCTAACAAAACATGAACCAGATTTATATGATGAAAACTACAACAAAGTGAATGAAAGAAATTGAAGACTGAAAAAAAGACACAGATTTTGTTCACGGAGGACAAGTGTCAGCCTAACGAAGATGTCCGCTCTCTCCATACTGAGAGACCAGGTTTGACACCATTTCTCTCAAAACACCAGTACTGGGTCTTGAACTCAGGACCTGAGCACTATCCCTTAGCTTTTTTTTTTGCTCCAGGTAGGTGCTGTACCACTTGAACCACACCTTAACATCTGGCTTTTTTTGGTAGTTAATTGAAGATTTAAAAACAACCTCACAGATTTTTTTCCTGCCCTGGCTGGCTTTGAACTGTGATGTTCTGATCTCAGCCTCCTGCGTAACTAGGATGACAGGAGTGAGCTACCCGTGCTCGATGCTGGGTATTAATAGGGTACTATGTTATGTTATTTTTAATGTTACTAAGTATGTTAAATAACCTACTTATATAAAGCGTAAGTATATATATAAAACATAGATATAAAACATATAAGTATATATGTATTAATAAAATAAGTATATGTTACATATGTTATAAATGTTATAGATATGCTATAATATATACAGATATATGTTATAACAGATATATGTTATATATGTTATAACAGATATATGTTATATATGCTATAACATATAAGTATGTGTTATATATGCATATGTTACATATACTTAAATGTTATATATAACACATACTTATATGTTAAATATGTTATAACATATACTTATGTTATATATAAGTAGGTTATTTAACATACTTAATACATACCATAACATAGCTATGCTATTACTATCTTCAGATTTGTAAATTCTGTGTTGTAAATTCTGTATGCTATATTGCTTTCAAACAATATTGTAAACACTATGAAATGATCATTCTAGACTTCTTGTTCATAATGATTTTACAGTTCCATTTTATTTAATAGTTGTTACATATTCTATTTACATTTGACTTGCACCTGGTTATTTTTAAGTGGTTTCCAGACTTCCCTGGTTTGATATAATCGTCTCTAGCATCTAATAGATACGACGATTGAGTGGAAATTCCCTGATCGTTTATACTGAGTATACTTCTGTATGCCTTTCCAGACTCTTCTGCCAACATTCTATTTGGCGTCCTGTGCATCTGTGTTCTTAGATGAGACTGGTGTCTGCTTTGCTGTTTTGTCTGTTCTTCTTCCTCCAGCTTTACTGATAAGTTTAGGTTTCAACCATGGCATTAATTGGTGAGTTAGTTACATGGTGTTGAGGTAACACCACAACAACCTGTTCTGTACAGGATTCAGATATCATAGTCTGGTCATGGACACATTGAAGAGCCCTTTGAGCCTGTTGTTTACTTGTATGTCTTGAAAATACTGAGGTACGAGCCTTTCTGATTTTTTTGTTTTGTTTTTTTGTTTTTGTTTTTGTTGGTCATGGGGCTTGAATTCTGGGCCTGGGCACTGTCCCTCAGCTCTTCAGCTCAAGATGAGTGCTCTATCACTTGAGCCACGGTGCCACTTCTGGCTTTTTCTGCTGATGTGGTGCTAAGGAATCGAACCCAGGGCCTCATGCATACGAGGCAAGCACTCTACCACTGAGCCACCTTCCCAGTCCTGTATAGCTTTCTTATATAGAGATATATAGATACAGTATATATTTGTATATTGTATGTTGTATATATTGTTTGTATTGTATATGTTGTATACTATTATATAGATTGTCTATATAGATATATCTAAAGATATAGGTCTATCTATCTATCTATCTATCTGTAGATAGATCTAGATATCTATCTATATAAAATATAGATAGGTCCTACACTATATAGATTGCTAGATCTACATATAGGTCTATATCTAGATCTCTATATAGATAGGCATGTCTATAGATCTAGATCTAGGAAGATCTAGATCTGTAGACACATATATAGATCTAGATCTACCAATATATAGATCCATATATAGTTAGACACATATATAGATCTATATACAGATCTATACATAGATCTAGCTATCTATACAGTGTAGCAAAGCACAGTGGAGCTAGGCCTGTATGCCCTTCCCTTGCCTGCGGTATTTGGACAAAGCATTCTGCAGCTAAGACAGCAAAGAAATGCTGGAAGCCCCCTATGAATCATCAGCGTCGGAGTGAAGGGTGAATTGCTTTACACTGGTGTGGGGTGAGCCTCCCCGCTCCCATCCGCTGAGAGGATTCCATCATGGTGGTCAGGCCTCAACGTGACCTCAATCCAACATCCGGGTTTCTTCCTCCTGAGCTATTCTGCACGGGGCTCTGGTTCTCCAGTTCAATGGAAAGAAGTTGCATAAACAAAGTTGCATAACAAGGGGAGGAAGAGAAAGTCTGAAGACAGGGAAAGCTGATACAGCACACTCAACAAAGTCATGTCCATGTTCACTGCTACGCTATTTCCATTGCCAACAACCCAGATGACCTACAATGGTTGAAGGGACCAAGAATATGTGATATAGATATATATCTATATCTATCTACCTATCTATCTACATGTATATATGGACATATATAATGGAATTTAACGTATCTGTTAAGAGAATGATGTTACGTCATTGATAGGGACCTGGAAAGAAAAAAAAAGAATGTAAGTCAGGCACAGAGAGACAAATGGTGCACGTTTTCTCTCCTACGTGGAAGCTAAATCTAAATTATTAAGCATCTGGCACAGAAATTGAGGGACCAAGGGTGAACAAATGCAGCCGTGGTCCTCAGTGGGGAAAAAGAGCTCTATAACTTGTGGGTGGGGACCAGAGGGGAAAAATTGGGAGATAAGCACAAGGGAAGGAGGACATGGTGCAAAAACAGATGTACACTCATTACTTGACTTACGTAACTGTCACCTCGCTGTGTATCACCTCTGCAATATCAATATAAAAAGTTATTCGGAGATCACGGTTACGTATAATGATAGCCAGCAGAATTCACCAACTCTCCATGTGTAAGGGGAAATGTGGCGACATTTCATTTATCTCACTCGAAGCTTATTGTTGTTTTTTTTAATCTGTGTCTTGAGGATGTCCAATCCACTTCTAAGTCGATGCTTGGGGATTATTTCAAAATCTCTCACAAAACATCTCGTGAGTAGAATTAGACCTTACTGTATGATGTCATGGTTTTATGGATTCAGATAAATGTTGTACCATGGATCAAGATTCTCATTCTAGGGGCTGGGAAGATGCTCTAGGATCTGAGATGAGCTCTCACTTGGTCCTTTAAAACTTTTCAGACTATAAATGGCTCTGTGCATTAAAAAAAAAAAAAACTTGTGATAAATATGGAGGAAAAGAACCTCAGCAGAGCTGGACACCAGTGGCTCATGTCTGTAATCCTAGATACTCAGGAGGCTGAGATCTGAGGATCAGGGTTCAAAGCCAGCCTGGGCAGGAAAGTCCATGAGATTTTGATCTCCAACAAACCACAGAAAACTGGAAGTGGTGCTGTGGTTCAAGTGGTAGAGCGCTCGCCTTGAGTGAAGAGCTCAGGGACAGGGTCCAGGCCCAGTGTTCAAGCCCCACAACTGACTACAAAGTAAAAAAGAATCTTAGCAGCAAGGAAGTCCAGTAGAAAACACAAATCTTTCTGTCTGACATCCTCAACATTTAGAGGTCAGGAGATCCCAGGAAATTCAATTCCTAGAGGCCTGGGTCACTGAGCGGTGCCCGGAAGTGTCAGACATAGATCTGAGAGAAGGGGACAAAAAAAAAAAAAAAGGAAAAATAATTATCACAGGAGACAGAAGAATGTGGAGAGCTGGAAGTGACCTTGCAATCTGAAACCTTCTGGTGCTGGTTTCCCTGAATGAGCAGACTGTGGCAGAAGGGGTACAAGGAGTGGGTAGGCATCACACACCTGGTCACGAAGATACTGGAAACCAAAGGCATCTGTAATTCGATTCCCCCCTTTTCCTGGCTGTCCTCCTCCATTGTGCTGAGCATCCAGTGGTAAGGAGATTCTACCATGTACCCGTACCGGTCAGACATCACTAATCTATGACAGATTGTGTTCCTTCAGGGACCAGATGTGCCCTTAGACCTTCCTGCTCAGACGCTCCAGGCAGCTACTCTTGACTGGCCCACCTGGCCAGATTCTTTGTTGTGTCAATAATAATAATACTTACCAAAATCCTAATCCCCAGTGGGGTTTCTTTTTCTGTTGCAGGTGGATAGGACAGAGGTGATTCGGACCTGCATCAACCCCGTGTACTCCAAACTGTTTACTGTGGATTTCTACTTTGAAGAGGTTCAGCGCCTGCGGTTTGAAGTCCATGACATCAGCAGCAATCACAATGGGCTGAAGGAAGCTGATTTCTTAGGTGGCATGGAATGTACACTTGGCCAGGTGAGCCAACACACATTCCCTTCCTCCTCCTCCTCCTCCTCCTCCTCCTCCTCCTCCTCCTCCTCCTCCTCCTCCTCCCTTTTGCTTCCTTTCCCCATCTCGCCTCATCTTTGCTTTCTTCTTCCTATTGATTTTATTATTACTATTATTATTATTATTATTATTGTCGGTCATGGGCCCTGAACTCTGGGCCTGGGCTCTGTCCCTTAGCTCTTCAGCTCAAGGTGAGCGCCCTACCACTTGAGCCACGATGCCACTTCCGGCTTTTTTCTACCTTTGTGGTGCTGAGGAATCGAACCCAGGACCTCATGTATGCGAGGCAAGCGCTCTACCACTGAGCCACCTTCCCCACCCCGATTTTATTTTCTTTTGCATGTAATATGTTACTACTCCCTGGACACTATCACATCTATTATATCAATCTGTGATGTGACATCTTTTTTTTTTTTTGTCGGTCGTGGGACTTGAACTCTGGGCCTGGGCGCTGTCCCTCAGCTCTTCAGCTCAAGGCGAGTGCTCTACCACTTGAGCTACAGTACCACTTCCGGTTTTCTGGTGGTTTATTGGAGATAGGAGTCTCACGGTCTCTCCTGCCCGGGCTGGCTTTGAACCGCGATCCTCAGATCTCAGCCTCCTGAGTAGCTAGGATTACAGGCATGAGCCACCAGCGCCCAGCTTGTGATGTGACTTCTTGTTCCCGATTAATCATCTTCTCTTCTGAGTGCCCTCGAGTGATTGGTCAATAGCCATTAATTGGCCCGTGGACTGTGTTTCTGGCTCTGGGTTCTGCACTTGTGTCAGCTGCAACCTTGTCCTGAGTGGTTATTAAAGTTCCATCCCCGAACTTGACAGGGAAGATACAGAGAGCATTTCTCTGAGTTATTCCAAGTCTCTGAGGTATGAAAAAAAATAACCCAAGGAAGGGACAAATACTTGATGAGCAAATAATCTTCATACTAATGTAAAATATTTTTTGACTCAGGGAGCAAGCCGAACCAGAGAATACTGTTGCTATTTAAGAAAAAAAAAAAAAAAAAACTACAAAGGTAGTTAAATGCTAGGCGTTGGTGGCTCACATCTGTCATCTTAGCTACTCAGGAGGCTGAGATCTGAGGATCACAGTTCAAAGCCAGCCCTGGCAGGAAAGTCCCCATGAGACTCTTATCTCCAATAAATCACCAGAAAACTGGAAGTGGTGCTGTGGCTCAAGCAGTAGAGCGCTTACCTTGAGTAAAGAGCGGCTCAGGGACAGTACCTAGGTCCTGAGTTCAAGCCCCACAACTGACAAAAAAAAAAAAAGAAAGAAAGAAAGAAAAAAGAAATGATTCCCAAACGTACAAGTTTAGTCCTTCTCAAGCCTCACCTCTCCCAAACCCAATGGACTATTTTGTGCCAGCCTTAAAAGGTAGCTGTCACAGAGGGAGTGGTGAGTAAAACATTATTTTTCCCTGGCCTAGAGTACCTCAAGGCCTAGTTGAATTAAAGATGGAAGGCAGGTGGTTCTGCAGTTCATGAATAACAATGATTTTTAAGCCTGGTGAAGCCAGGGTACAAAAGAAGAGAAGAAGCACGGGAGACTGGCATGGGGGTTGGGTTGGGGAGCAATGGGGTGGGGGGTAGGGGAGGATCAATGAAGGTCTTCCCGAGGAAAGCGGTATGTCTGCCAAATAGAGAAGAAAAAAGGAGGAAGCACAGGTTCCGAGCAGATGGGAACATTGTACATAGAGCGTTCATCGGGTTCAGGAAGAGATCTGACATATGGTGCAGCCCAGCATCTTTGTTTGATTCCCCGTCTCCCCCCCCCCCCCCCAAGCCAACTCTCAGACAGGAAGGGAGATGTTGGGGAAAGAAACACCAGCATGAGCTGGAAAAAGGGATCACAAGACAAGGAAGGCAGGATGTGACAGATGAACGGTGAAGTTGGCTACCCATGTGTGGGGGGGGGGAGCTTAATTCTATGGTGAGGGGACAGTAGGATTCTGGAAGATTCTGGGTAGAGGAGACATCAGTTAACCTTATCTAGGGATGGAGACATTGGAGCATCTAGATAACTAGGGGCTAGAAATGTTCCCACCGCTTCTTTTTATTATTATTTTTATTGTAAAGATACTGTACAGAGGGGTGACAGTTACATGAGCAAGATGAGTCCATTTCCTCTTGAATATTGTTACCCCTTCTTTTGTTTTCCCCTACCATCCCTTCCCTTCCCACCTCCCCAACTCCTTCCTTCCCCCGCCAAGATGTAAAGTTCATTTTCAACATAGTGTCTTGTACATCTCATCGTTACAATGGGTCAACCTGTATCCTTATTTAAGCATTTTGTTATATCCCTTCCCCTCCCCAAATTAGAAAAATGTATATACAAGATGCAGGGCACCAGAATCAAATATAGTGACAACAGGGGTTATACCATGGGGGAAGAACATACAAAAGAAACAAAAAAAATGGCATAGTGGGCTGGGAAGGTGGCTCAGTGGTAGAGCGCTTGCCTTGCATGCCTGAGGCCCTGGGTTCAATTCCTCAGCACCACATAAGCAAAAAGAAAAAAGCTGGAAGTGGCACTGTGGTTCAAGTGGTAGAGCGCTAGCCTTGAGCTGAAGAGCTGAGGGACAGCACCCAGGCCCAGAGTTCAGGCCCCACAACTGGACCCCCCCCCCCAAAAAATGGCATAGTACACTATAAGTACATTATAAAAACAACAGCAAGAAAGATAAAAACTCTTATATAGTCCTATGTACATAGCTTTTGGCCTTTTCTGCTTGTACTAAACTTATACTAGTTATTGCAAATAAGGGAAACCATGGGACCTATGTTTCTTTGGGCCTGGCTTACTTCACTTATAATTTTTTCCAAGTCTTTCCATTTCCTAACAAATGGGGCAAAGTCATTCTTTCTGATGGAGGCATAGAATTCCATTGTGTTGTGTGTGTGTGTGTGTGTGTGTGTGTGTCACATTTTCTTGATCCATTCATCTACTGAGGGGCATCTGGGTTGGTTCCATAGCTTAACTATGGTGAATAATGCGGCGATGAACATGGTTGTGCTGGTAGCTTTGGTATAACCTTGTTTGTGATCGTTTGGATAAATGCCCAAAAGTGGGATTCCTGGGCCATAGGGCAGCTTGGTGTGTAGTCTTTTGAGGACCCTCCATACTGCCTTCCAAAGTCCCACCCCTTCTTGATGAAGATAAGAGCAAAGTTGCTCTAACGATCAGCAAACACTGACCAGAAAAGAAATACAAGTAGTGGAGGGTAGAAGACAGTGGTGTACAGCTCAGGTTGTGGGGAACAGAAATGGGGGTGGCTTGGAGCAGCACTTATCTGTGGCCTAACTTATATCCCACTCAAACTGTCTTAGCAGTCAGACTCTGACAATGGTCATCATTTTCTATCCTAGGGCCATGTTGAAAACATCCCGCTCTGCTTGTTTTCTTTCATGTGTAGGGGTTAGAGGTAAACTATAAACATAGATGAAAACATATACAGGGCCATATACATACATACACACACAGGGAGAGACACAGACACACAAACATATTGACTCAAATATGGTACAAGGATTCCGAGGGTGGAATTCCTTTGAACAACCAACTTCTAGTTTAATAGCAGTGGGTGTTGGGGGAAGGAAAGGATGGTGGGCAGGTGATGGAGAGAGAAAGGGTCATTCAAATTCAATGGACATGCTGGGCACTGGTGGCTCACGCCTGTCATCCTAGCCACTCAGGAGGCTGAGATCTGAGGATCACGGTTCAAAGCCAGCCCAGGCAGGAAAGTCCCTGAGACTCTTAAGTCCAGTGCACCACCAGAAAACCAGAAGTGGCGCTGTGACTCAAGAGGTAGAGCTCTCGCCTTGAGCTGAGGACAGCGCCCAGGCCCAGAGTTCAAGCCTTATGACCAATTCCCCTCCAGAAAAGCAATAGATAGATACATAGATACCTAGACAAAACAAAGGCAGAGAGGCAGGAAGGAAGAAAGGAAGAAAGGAAAACGATCTTCTCCCTAGCTCACAAGTAGACCTGAATACCCTCAGCCATCCCTAAACCTCTTATCCAAGATTGATTTAGGGGTTCAGGGATGTGCCTATGGCCAGTTCTAACTGGGAAATGTAAAGATTATGAAGACACGGTTACTCTCAGCCTATGATCCTAGGACCACTGTAACCGTCCGGCAAAGATGAGAGCCCAATGATGTGAGTCGGAGCTGCTCTATCTGTGGACTCTGTATTATGAGAAAATGAATGTCCTGCTGTGAAAACTATTTCAGATGTGATTTTCCATTCCTGGAGCTAAAGACATCGTGATTGACATCTCAAATCGGCAGTGTTTATCAAACAAGAACCGGGCTGGCTGAAATAGGGCAAACCAAGTTAATGTTCTTAATCTGTCGAAGTAAGGAGTATGTAGGAGTGAACCCCACCCTCACCCCTACCCCCCCCCAAAAAAGAGATTAAAAATAGGCCTTTCTAATTATGCTGGAATACTTTGGTTTCTTTCTTTCTTTCTTGTGCTGGTCCTGGGGTTTGAGCTCAGGTCCCTGGCGCTGTCCCTGAGCTTTTTCTCCTCTGGGTTAGTGCTCTACCACTTGAGCCACACAGCTTCATTTTCAGATTTTTTGAGGGGTGGTTATTTGGAGAAAAGCTTCTCACAGACTTTCCTGCACGGCCTGGCTTCCACCTGTGATCCTCAGATCTCAGCCTCCTGAGTAGTTAAGGGTTTTAGGCATGAACCACTGGGGCCCAGCTAAAACAGGGGTTTAAAGCCAGATCTCTGAAATCATTCGGGGAGGTAATTTGGGCAAGTATTTTAATAGTTGTTTTTTTTTGTTGTTGTTGTTGTTGTTTGGTCATGGGGCTTGAACTCTGGGCCTGGGTGCTGTCTCTCAGCTCTTCAGCTCAAGGCAAGCGCTCTACCACTTGAGCCACAGCACCATTTCTGTTTTTTCTAGTGGTTTATTGGAGATAAGAGTCGCATGGCCTTTCTTGCCCAGGCTGGCTTTGAACCG